CGGATTCTCAGCTAGCTACTTGTTGATTTTCACTGACATTGGAGCAAGCCAGGACTCCAGCACGGGACTATCTTGACCAAATCTGCCATATTGGGCCACAATGTGCCACATCATGCCACTCATCTCTCGCCCCTGCCCCAGGCCTTTGCAAGAGGCGTTTTGCTCCTGCTTGCCTTCAGGGAGCTTGCGGCTTTTGTGCTGCCCTTCTCCTTCTCCTTGCCGCAAGGCCATGCTTGGAGTAATACCACTACTGAAATCAATCAGGGGATGGATGGCAGGACATCTATTCTCAGCAAGGTACTTGTTAGTCTTGGAGGCATTGAACAAGCAGAGCTCGAGCACGGAACTATCTTGACCAATCCTTGCGTTCTTGAGACCTTGGCTGCCTTGGTGTTGCAAAGTCACTATAGGCTCTACAATCTGCATGATATCCTGGAAATGAGAAGTCAAGTTTCATACCGTGGATTGATCTCATTACCGGTTCATTATTCCATCATTGGCATCACTATATAGGTCCATGAAAAACATATTTCAGCACTTTCATTTGTCCTTTGTTACTGTGAGCGTACCACTTCATATCCTGTCCCAGGTCATATGGCACACCACCTCCCCCTCCAGACCCACCTCATGATGCAGGATTTGCATTTGAGTTCAGTGTTCGCCCTCCAACAAAATACGCCCATCATCTTCGGTGCGCGCGGATTCTCAGCTAGCTACTTGTTGATTTTCACTGACATTGAGCAAGCCAGGACTCCAGCACGGGACTATCTTGACCAAATCTGCCATATTGGGCCACAACATGCCACTCATCTCTCGCCCCTGCCCCAGGCCTTTGCAAGAGGCGTTTTGCTCCTGCTTGCCTTCAGGGAGCTTGCGGCTTTTATGCTGCCCTTCTCCTTCTCCTTGCCGCAAGGCCATGGGAGTAAAGCCACTACTGAAATCAATCAGGTGATGGATGGCAGGAAACGTATTCTCAGCAAGGTACTTGTTAGTCTTGGAGGCATTGAACAAGCAGAGCTCGAGCACGGAACTATCTTGACCAAACCTTCCGTTCTTGAGACCTTGGCTTTGCAAAGTCACTATAGGCTCTACAATCTGCATGATAACCCGGAAATGAGAAGTCAAGTTTCATACCGTACATCGCCGTACATTGATCTCATTACGGATTCATTATTCCATCATTGGCATCACTATATAGGTCCATGAAAAACATATTTCAACAACTTCATTTGTCCTTTGTTACTGTGAGCGTACCACTTCATATCCTGTCCCAGGTCGTATAGCACACCACCTCCCCCTCCAGACCCACCTCATGATGCAGGATTTACATTTGAGCTCAGTGTTCGCCCTCCAACAAATTACGCCCAGCATCTTTGGTGGCGCGGATTCTAAGCTAGGTACTTGTTGATTTTCACTGACATTGGAGCAAGCCAGGACTCCAGCACGGGACTATCTTCACCAAATCTTCCGTTCTTGAGACCCTGGCCTTTTCAACAGGTGTTTTGCTTCTGCTTGCTCTCGAGGAGCTTGCAGCTCTTGTGCTGCCCTCCTCCTTGCCGGAAGGCCATGCTTGGAGTAAAGCCATTACTGAAATCAATCAGGGGATGGATGGCAGGAAATCTATTCTCAGCATTTCTCAGCAAGGTACTTGTTAGTCTTGGAGGCATTGAACAAGCAAAGCTCGTGCACGGAACCATCTTGACCAAATCTCCCGTTCGATGGCCACGTAGGGCCACAACTGTCTTAAGACCTTGGCCTTTTCAGCAGGCGTTTTGCCTTTGCTTGCTGTCGAAAAGCTTGAAGCTTTCGTGCCGCCCTTCTCCTGGCAGAAAAACACCCTGTCGCCCAATTCACAGCATTGAGAAATCTATTTGATTAAGGCTGCCATGATGTGCCCAACATTTCATGGAAAGCAACCACTCAGTCCCTTCATCTAGCTTTCGTGCTTGCCCAAGTCTTGACCGGCTATGTGCCCCAGCGCTGGGCAGCTGCTTCTGCTTGCTCGGGAGAAGCTTGCAGCTTTCGTGCTGCCCTTTCCCCCACAGAAAGACCAAATGCAAGATCCAACTTAACTGCTCAATCCCCCAAGCACCCTGCTGCTGGGGAGAATGGATTCTGTGAAGACTGCACGGCAAAAAGTGCGACTTCTTAGATTTCAGGGGCAACAAGAGCGTACAATATCTGCGATCAAGCGACAGACTTGGTGGGTGCCCATGTCATTGAGCTTGAAGCTTCTGCGATGTCGTTGTCTTCCTCAGGATCTGCGAAAAAAAAAACACATCAGACTGAAGTGCTTTCAGCTTTCCAAGAAACCAGCTACAGTATATGCATCAAGAAATGTCCATTGAAAAACAGCTCAGAGGCCGAGAGTCAAAATGCAGCTGAAATATGCTGAAATATCCATGGTAATTACATGTAATTACAGCATATTGCAGCTAGTTTTCTGTCAAGGCATGTCCATAGTCTATAGTATGAGTTGACCAACCCAAACTCCATGTCTCAGATTCTGGGAGAAACTGAAGCGAGGTTTGGAGGATCCACTTGCAAGCCATGCATCCAAAGCAGGCGGAGCAGCCTGGCAGGACTTGACTTTCTCCACGAGGTCCTCCTCATGATTCAGCACTTCTGCAGGAGAATTCCGGAAAGTGACCAGCCAAATACAGTGGTTTCAGAGTAGATGGCACAGACCTCAAGATGTCCTTTACATGGGGGTTCATCTAAACCACCTCTTGGGGTCTGTGCCATTGGTCCTCTCAATCCACTATACATTGAAGTCGGGTTTTCATTGCACACCGTCGGACGCACAGGTCGGGCCAAGATCACCCACTAAGAGTTTATGCATGGTCAATGGGATCGCACACTTCTCAATTTCGATATGATGTCTCACCATGGTGAAAAAGATGCGTTTCCTCAGTTGCCCCTCCTGCCATTCCAAAGCCTTGTTTCACAGTTCAGGTCAGGTGTGATCGACCAAACCGACCACCTCTGAGCCTCAGAACATTGACCCCCCTGGTGCAGCCCAAGGCGCCACAGCCTTCTGCATGCCGATGTTCCCCTCGTCTTTGTCGATGTGCCCCTCCTGCGACGCAGGCTTAGGGCAGGGGCTTAAGGCTTAGGGCAGGATGTGGTGGGGCGCAGGATGCGGTTGCCCTCGGTTCACCAAGCGGCCAGTTGAATCATTGAAACACCCAGGTTCACCTCGTCTTCAAGCGGCCAAGGGGTTACAGTCGGCACCATTTGTGCTTGACTCGTCTTTGATCGTCTTCGTGTCAGACCTCTAGAGGTCTGGCACTTTTGGAGGTGAAAATACTCGAAACTCTACGCCCGTCGGAACCCGAGGTTCACATGGAACCGGAGTTCACCACGTCGGGCTGGTATTCGGTAAACATCGCCTTTCAGTCTGGTCCATGGCAAGTTCGGTTCCATGTGGGTCTCTTCCCGGGTGTAGATGTTTTTTTCCCAGGAACATCCCATTGAGTGGGGTGACAGAGCTCTCCAGCTCAGATGTTCAGATGCTTCACAAGTGGCCAAGAGGTCCCACAGGTCCCGCGTGGGCGCAGAGGTCCGTCTCGGAACGAAAATCCGAGAAGCTGCTGATGACAACGGGTCACCCTCAAGCTGCTGATGTTCGAACTGCAACGGTTTGAGGAGACCCGCAGATGACGCAGGATTTCGTCCAGGGAAGGTCGTTCGCTACATGGTGGACCAGGGTTCCGGGTTTTGACCCACTAAAGGCTTCACCCCAAACCACTGGGCTGCACGCTGCTGCGCCTGGATCTGCTTTAGAATGAGCTCCCAGCGGCCTGGTGCAGTTGAGGATTCATGTGGCTTCCGCCGCTCTCGGGTTCCCACACAACGGGGCACAAAGGGAGAATCCGTGAACATCCACTCAGGGACGTAACTCTAGCCACTTTCCACGCCTATCAGGGGCCTATCATATTTCAGTTTGAATCCTATCGCATTTGGCGGCTCACATTAGCTAGCGACCCTGGGTCGCCAATCATCACATCTTCCAACGCTTTAGAACTTCAATGCGCAAACCGCACAAACATAGGTGACAAGCAATTGAAGAAGGACTTCCAAGAGCCAACCCCACGCAAAAAAACAACGAACCTCTCCCTTTACCATCGAAGCTTTGGACACCAACATCCACCAGGACCTTCAGTTCGTCACCGTCCTTGAGGTCCCCGGATGAGGTCACTTAGAGACTTCAAACTACGCCTGTAACCTCCAACGAGAAGTTCTCGGTGAGCCCCAGAGTCTTCAGGCTGTCCTTGAACTGACGGGCCTTTGCGAGCGCGAGGCATGTTTGGCACCTTGTACCTTTTGCCGATGGCCTCCAACCCAATAGCGATGGCCTCCAGATGGCAACCTAAGAGCGATGTCCTCCAACCTAATAGCGATGGCCTCCAACCTAACAGCGGGCGATAGCTTTCACCCTAGTAGCGATGGCCTCCAACCTAAGAGCGATGGCCTCCAACCTAATAGCGACGGCCTCCAACCTATTATAGCGATGGCCTCCAACCAAAGAGCGATGGCCTCCGACCTACTAGCGATGGCTTCCACCCTAGTCGCGATGGCCTCCAACCTAAGAGCGATGGCTTCCAACCTAAATAGCGATGGCTTCCAACCTAACAGCGATGGCCTCCAACCTAGCAATGGCTTCCACCCTAGTAGCGATGGCC